GAAAGGTGAGGATTCCCATAAAAGGGAAGCGAGGCAGACAGCTTTCCTTCATTCATTCAAATCCCTGTTGTGTCAAGGGATGCATGTAGGCAGCTCCAAGACGGATAGCATGCTAGGGGAACAGCAAGACAGGCACAAGGCAGCATCCTCACCAACAAACAGCACAGTTCCACCATACAAGCCCCACTCAAGAAAATGGCCAAAGCAGGCCTGGTAACAATAAATTTGTGGACAGTGGCTATTACATTTTACCTTTGAGTACATTTTAAATAGTAAGGGAGCTCCTAATACACTAAGAGATATCAATACATTCCTTCCAATTCAACTTCCATAYAACATTTCTCATTTCTTTTTACAGGAACTTTTGTTACTGAAGAAAGAGGTCAGCTAAAACTGGCTGCCTGTGGTCTGCCCAACTTAATTTCTATTTGATACCAATGTTGACATAACAAGAAATGAGGCCTCAAGTTTWCTCCCCTCAAAGTTAATGCATGAATTATCTAACAGCAAAATTAGAAACTAAGTTTTGTGCTTTTCAAAAGTTATTGCTTACTAAAAATAAATACCAGGCAGACTTTAAAAATAGATTTTATTTAGTAATTGGAAAAATATACATTGAAGTGGATATTTGGAAATTAATCCTACAATAAATTAAGAAGCATTTTTAAAAGATAAACTGATTGTTAATTGTAAAAGCCTAGTCCTGTCACACTTCCCAGTTAAACTGTAACTAGCACAGGAGATCATTATAATTTTTAAGTAATTGATCAACATTTCATACATATTTARGTCATTATTATTTATCATCTCAATGAAAAGTTTAGATTCTATTGCACAAAGGCTATTTACCTGAAGAAACATGGGATCTACACAGTATCCTAAAATCCTAAAATCAAAGTGCTTCTGAGTCTGTGTGGTGCTTAATGCTAAAACCAATGTAAACAAGTTAAAATAGTCCAAATGAAGTTTATAAATTACTGAATTCTCTAGCATATGGAATACATACAAGTCCACAAAACCATGCATGTGATCGCAAATTGGTAACTAAACAATATAAATAGCAGAATCTCCACAAAATAGTAAATTATTGTCTCCATTTTGAACAATGGAGGCAAGCATTATTAAAGCTAGAACAAACTAGCTAGCTTCAAACATTTTATCTATGTAAAATAGTAAATCTCTCCTGAGACCTGTTTGTGGGTTAAAAGGCTTATATTATTTATCCTGTGGTAATTTTTTTCCTCCAACATAGTTTAGCATCCTCTTGCTTCCGCAACAATAAAATAAAAAGCCTTCCTCTGATTTCAGCAATACAGTATTATTCTTTAGCCAGAGCCAGCTTTAAACGGATATGAAAACACATAAAATATTTAAGGCAACCTCACAAAATCCAATCCAATCATGCCTTTGCTCCATTCTTAAAAACTGCTTTAAACTAAGTACTGATTTTCATTCTTTGCGACTCCTTCCTCCACTGAATGTGTTACCCAAAGGTCACATACAATTTTAAATTTCTTCCCAAATGTTCTCCTGAGTGCTTTCATCTCTTCTACCCGTGAATGATCTTCTCCTACAACAACATGGGAGACACCCTCTTCAAGGTGAGAAACTACTTTTGCACCATAAAAACGGAGGTCCAAAGCTCTAATTGATAGTGTGGTTCCAGGGATTTTGCTTTGGGGCTCATTAACAACAGCGTAACAGTCCACATAAAYAGTGCTTCCTCTGAATATACTGAGCTGGCGACTGTTCCACGAATAACGTTCTTCTATCTCTGCAATCAAGTCCAAAGGCATTGTCTTATTGTTTTTCACTCTTGAGAACACTTCCTTGAGCTGTGCAACATCTGTATTTGCTGTGTAACTGTCTCCATAACAATCATAYTCACGAGCAAAATGTTCTTTTGTGTCAGGAGACATGTGAATCATAAYGGCTGGTTGCCAAGGCACCAGCATTTTGGTTTGAAAACACTGTAGGAGCCACTCCGCCCTCACCACATCATATTTGTTGGAAGCAATGATGTTTTTCACTCTGACATTCTCAGCTCCTACAATGACACAGTAAGTGTCTGGACCTGGGTTCTGTACCACACTGCCACCACATTSGGCTATCCTGCTTTCCAGCTCAGACTTTGAGTATTTTCCCGTTCCTGTCATAACACAAAACTCAACATCTTCAAATAAATTTGAAACCTTGCTTACACTAGAAAGATCAGGGGCTTTAAATTGCTCAGCTATTCCAATTATCTTCCTCACCTTTGAAACAGTTTTCCTTTTTTTCTCATGTGGCTCATCATACTCATCAATATGAAGGTGCTTAGATGCCAGCTTTCCTTGTGCTTTGTTTCTGAGATCTTCTAACATGTCTGAAGTCATGCACTCATACCATTCCTTGTCCTCTCTTATCTTCTCAATTCGGGGGAATCTCAAAGTACAGTCAGTTTTGTACATATCACTGTCAACAATCTCAGCTGCCTTGATCTGAACTATGACAGAGTTGCAAGGTTCAATGTACATTTCAGGTTTCTCAGTTCCACACAAAATGTTACCAGGGGGGTCCTTCCTATGGTAGGGCTTCCAGTGTTTAGCCAGTTTCAAGCCTAGATCATACAACTCTTTCATAGTATAGCCAGAGCCRACGCGACAAATGGAGTGGAAAATGGTCGGTTTTTCATTTGGAGGGGGCGTCTCTGCAACAGCACACAGAAAATGAGACATCATTCCACCACGTGACCCCTTCCCCCAGTAACCACCAACAATTAAAAGATCCAGTTCATCCATCAATCCATTGACATACTCTGGCTTGATTTTTAACCACCCTTCCCCACGTTTGTCTGGCTTGTAGGTGGACATGGGATCTTTCACCATAATCCCTTCCTCTCTGTTATCTATTGCTTCATTTAAAGCATCAATTACTTCTTTTCTTGTCCTGGCACTTCTCTTATGGACAACATGTATCCTGCCCTTTATCGGGGTAAATACGTTRCTTAAGATTTCATATCTTTTGCTTAGTACTTCATGCCCCAACTTCTGATCATTAACCATCAATACATCAAATACRCAGAAGCAGGTCTGCAGATCAGAGTCCTCCACCATTCTTTTTATGTCAAATTTGTTTCCTTTTTGCATAAAGGTTTGTGTCGCAGGATTGTAAGCCATCATTTCACCATCAAGAATGCAATTTTGTATATTGCTCTTAAATACATTATGAATAAATGGCGTTAATGAACCTTCAAGGGGAGAAGCACCAAACTGCTGAGTATAGTCAAACCCATTTCGGGAAAAATACTTGTACACATCCCCATCTTTGTGCATCTGCATCCGTTCACCATCCAGTTTAGTTTCTATGTAGAATGTCTGGTTACTCATTTGTTTCTCAATTTGCTGAATATCTGCAATAGCAGCAAGCATCGGTTTAAAGGCAGAAAACAACATGATWGAAACATCACTAAGTGAGACAGAGGGATCATGCAGCTGTCTGCAAACTTTTTCCAAATCAGTGGTAACATTGTGCAATTCAGCAGCGTCAGGATGAAAAATGGAAAATATAGTYTGTTGACTAACACCAAGCTTTAGATCCTTTATAATCATTCGGATAAGCCATTTTTGTTCCAGTGCTGTGCTCTGGGTAATTAACTGAAGAAGGCTTTTCTTTAACTGACCCTTGTTTTTAGCAGCATTATTATTAGCTATCACATCTAAGTGTTCATTGACTTGTTCTATTGTCAGTCTGCCTTGTTTTGGGCTCCTAGGTTTTAGCACAAAGTATGCGATCATTGCAAAATCTCCAGCATCTCCACGTGAGCCCGTGGGTGTTCTGTAATTTAAAAGCTTTGCAGCGTCTTTTCCATCTTTTGGCAAATGAAGCAGCTCAATATAGAGTTTCGCAAGCATTGTTTCTTTAATTCCATATGCCATCCTTTCTCTTTCCAACTGTGGAAGAATAAGTCGCATAGCTGGGTAAAAAGAATCTGTGACATCTTTCTCTTTTTGATGRAGTGCATCATGAAATTTCCTCCAGGAATCAAGAAAATCCTTGAAATACTTGGTTTTCTCTGGACGAGATTTACACTTCTGTATTCGCTCCAGAGTAGAACACAGATCTGCAAAAGGCACATGAGAGGCCACCGTTTTTTTAGSAGGAGACTGTGAAACAGGTGCGGAAGCCATCAGTCTGTTTTCTGCTGGGAACAAAACAAAATCATATATTTATAAACATAACGCCAGCGTATTATTCGGTTTCAAAAAAAAAAAAAAAATCTCTCATTAGGATTTAGGTTTTTTCTCATTTTTCCAATTAAGATTTAACCACTATCTCAAAGGTCGCCAGCTGGCACCGCCGACCTTAGTTAAGGGTCAAACTCAGCAGAGAGGCTGTGCCATGGAAACTCCGGCATCACCTAGGCAGAAGACTGACTGCAAGGTAGGGGAAGGCACCGCGCTCCCCTCCCGCTGCTGCTGCCCAGGCGGGAGCTTTCACTGCTCGGAGACCGATTTCCTCCTCCACCTTTGGGGAGAACGCAGCCCGCCCCCGACACCACCCGCCTCGGCCCCTGTCGCCCGGCGGAGGGTGCGGTGCCCTACGGGGCCACAGCCGGTGCTCGCCCCGCGGAGAGGGACCGCCCCGCACCCCCACCGCCCACACGGCGCTGCCATGGCCACGGCGCGGGGGGAGCGGACACGGCCCGCGGGGCACCCTCCGCTCCGCACGGGAAGAGMCAGCAGCGCCGATGGAGGAACGGCCACCCCAGGGGAGACTCACGGMGAGCCCAGGTACCTGCGGAGCCGGGGTGACACCGGCCTCCCTCCGCCCCGGAAGAGCAGGGCCGACCTGCTGACACCGCCCTCCGCGCTCCGCCCCCGGGCCGGGGCGGGCAAGGCTGGCGGAGCCCGGGGCGGGGAAAGGCGGGGAGARAAGGGAGAACGGCCGGGCTGTGCCCTGGAAGCGGAACCGCGGCTGCGGTGACTTCCTGCCTCGGGAGGAAGGAGCGGTGGTTGAAGTTGCGCGTCGGGGTGTGCGCTGGCCCGAGGCCCCGGCGGCGGCCCCCGGGAGGATGCGGCCGGTGGGTCTGGCGGCGCCTCGGGCCGGGCCGAGCGCGGCGCGGGAGGGGAGCGGGCCCGGCGGGTGAGGCCGCGCCGGGGCGGGCGGGGTTCGGGTTTCCTTTGGGCTTTGGGTTCCGTTTGGGCTTTGCGGTGTCGCCGGGGCCAAACGCGTCTCTTCCGTGGAGCGGCAGCAGGCAGGACGCTGTCCCGGGCGATGTGCGGCTCCTGCGCCCGCACAGAGGGACGTGGCTGCCGAGGAGCTTCTTCCTTGACAGAGCTGATGAAAGTTCCTGCAGGTGCCTTCCTGCGAAGCCCCAGGAGATCTTTAGCTTCTTGGCAGCAAGATCTTGCTCCAGTGTTTTGTTTATCTCCATTGCCATATGGAACAATTCCTGCAAATGGGTGCTTGTAGAAAGTGGGGCTGATGATCATTGTCATGTGCTTAAGGGGCCAAGTGACTTTTTCGGAAAGGCTGAACTGGGTGTCTCTCTTAAGTCTAGAAGGAATTAATTTAACAAGCCTGGAAAGTACTCTGTTTTAAGAGCCTATGGTCCCTACAAAGCTAAGGTTCCAATRCAGCCAGCCTTGGTTTGTTATTGTTTGGGGGTTTTTTGAACAGTATCATCGTAATTCAAGACATTGAATTATGATGACACTTTGTAATGTTTGTCAGCTGGGAGGAGAAGTGTTGCACGAATTAAGGGGAAGACATTTTCAGGTATGAGTATGTACAACTTGATGCAGAGCTGTGGATGTTGGCTGCTTGAAATAAGTAGGGCAAGTGTCTCGTTGATTTTAAAGCCAGAGCTCTTAAGTTATTTTTACTGTGCTTTTCCCTTCGTTTGAAGTTGCTACTTTGCTGTAGGATTTTTGGTTTGTTTTTTTTTTTTTTTTTAATTGAGTGTCTCTCTAGGATTTTAGTATTAAGAAAGTGTATTTTTCTTGTCCTTACTAGGCTTGTAGGTTTTCTTGCAGATCAATTCCCCCTATGAAGCTTTTTACAGTTGAGGACTTAATATTATTATTTGCAGAAGTCTTCTGAATAAATATGAGTAAATGTAACACTTGTGCAAATCTTGTCTGTATCTGCAGGAGGTAGTCTAGGAAAAGGAAGTGAAGTAGAAACAAACAGGTGTATTTAGGTATTTCTTGAGAACACTGAGAAATATCTGATTTGTTTGTTTGTTTTTAGATACAAAGGATTCCAGTGAGCCAAGTTAAGACTTGAGAGTTTTTTWAAAATCTCTTAAATAAGGAAGCCGCCATTAAACCTGATGGTGCTTCTTAGCACTAACTTTATGCAGTAAAAAGTTTTAAGGAGGCAATGTACATCTGGTATAATTTTTTWAATTAAATGAAGTTTAATAATTTTTATTATTAAGAATAATGATATAAATAATTAAATATAGTTATAATAAGTGTAATTATTGTTAATAAAATTTATTATATCTGTATATAATTATARTATTGTTATATACTGTCTGGAGTGCATATAGTCTAGGACAYTTCMTTGTGATTCTTGAACTTAATTATAAGACATTTTCAAGTTCATCACAWGTTTCAAATGAGCATTCAGTTTGAYGGGAGGAGCATGAGATGSACAGTCTCATTAGTGAAGCAGTTGTAACTTCTAGGGGGTTTGGCTCTTAGCACTTAKCTTTCTTTCAAGTAACAAGATAAATAGTAAATTACATGTGTAATTCAAAAGCAGTTTTACTCAAGATTCATAAATGAAATTGTCTTTCAGGCAGAGATGAATCCTGGGAAATCATCACATCTAAAGGTAAATGTTTTATGATATGATTAGTGTATGAAAATGGTACTTTTAATATTAAAAATGTAGACAAAGACAAAACAACAGAACTTGTGGCAAATGCAAGGGCAAATTCAGCTGCCATTCAAAATGAACGAAAAATTGTTCCCCAGTACTTTAAACGTACACTTGAATTTTTGTGGGGTTTTTTTTTCTGTTGATAATGGCATTAACCCATTAAAAATAACATTAGGGCAAAGCAGAATATTGTTAAAATACCTTGATCATAAATAATTACTTTTTCTCAAATTTTTTGTTGTTCTGAGTGATTTCTATCTTCAATAGTTTTCTAATGTAGCTCATMTGATAGAATATAGAAGTCTGCAATGGTTCCTAGGCTGTGGATTCAGCAGTAGAGATGCAGATGTAGGGTTGTGTGTCTATATCAACATATGCAACACAAAGCTGAAACTTATTTAYCTAGCCTTTAGCTTGGTTTAAATAATCAGTGATTATAAAATACTATGAATGCTGTAAAATGGCATGTGACTTCTTGTTATGGTAAATATTTTGTTGTTTGCAAAGTTACAAGTACTTGAAATATAGTGCTGYAATGCAGTGTTTCTTCCAAAAAATTACTTTTTTAAAGAGTATGACTCAAGAATGCCCTCCAAGAACTTAAGGGGGTGAATGCTTCTTGCCATAACTGGGACGTGAGGCCGCTATGGAGCAAGTCCATGAGTGGTTCRTGTAGTCTAGGAACAGAAGCGGTCCTATTTGGAGAGAGGATCAGGTTTGTCCAAGTGGTGGATCAGAGTCTAAATTCACAGTTCTCTCTTTTATTTCCTATCGTACTCTCACACCTTTTCCTGATCATTCTGGTTCCCTATTAGTCACAGAATTGTAGATACAGGAGAATTGCAATGCATGCTCTTCATAATTCAAGACAGTATTTGGGTCACAAGGTGTTACATCATAAACTGCTTGAGCAGTTCCTAACTGCCCATCCAGTACAACAGTAGTGGGAAATAAAGACCAAGAAGAGAGTTGTGAGTATGTGTGTTGTCTTGCAGTATGTTGAACAGTCTCAAATCACATATACTTCAAAAAGTGCTGACCTTATTGCTCACTGAAAATTACTGTATTAGCTTACCCTTTCTTTTCTGTCCTTCAAGTAGAAGTTTGGATCTGTTTGTATCATTTTCTGTTGTTCAAGGTAGGGTTTGGAAGCTCTGTTGCTTTGTGCTCCATAGAAAGCGTGGATTGTAGCTTTATTGAGAATGAGCTTGTATTGATTTGTCTTAGAGTGTCTTCTAGGCCTGTGTGCTTGAGAAACTCTCATTTTCTGTTCTAGTGATCTTTTAATTTGTATTGGAAGGTGGGAAGAACCTAGGAGAARCTTATGTCTTAGTTCTCAAGCTAACAAATCTTGCAATAGGATGGGAAGGCCTGGAAATGAGAGAAACTAATGAAGTTTCATGTAGCAGGGAAGAAAACTAATAGCAATGTAATTGTTTGGTATTGCAAAGTAGTCRGCTTCATTTAAATATATAGTGAGTGTGAAACATTTGTGGCTGTGTAGTTTGCCCTTCCTGCTAACTACTTTCTGTATGTTGAGCTTTAGTTGTAGTATGTACTGGATTTGAAATTCCAGTAGCAAAGTATTTGTATATACACACATATGTCAGAAGTAATCTCACAGCAGCAGTATTTCAGTAGTATAGAATTTGTTAATACTAGCCTGCTGAAATAAAAATACAAGTGGTGCTCAAATGAAACTGGCATGGCTTATAAAATCAGCTGTGGGTATCAGTCTCCAAATAATMAACCTTAGTCTATGTGGGATAGCCATTTGCAAAACTTCATCACTTCAAGTGAGATTTTTACTACTTCTTTGTCTCTTAGTAGTTGTGTTTAACAGTGGGTCTCTTACTTTCACGAATATCTTGTTGAGAAAGCATTTTTGGAGTTTCATTTTATAAGGAAGTCAGCAAAATAYTGACTTGTGTAGGTAAGGAGAATGGTTTTACAGTCTCATTATCAATGTTATTATAGTATTCAAATGTAATGCAGGAAATGCTTGTTRACTTACTTAGGAAGTTTCCTTGGAAACTGAGGTAGCTACTTTATGTGTCTCCTAATCATCGTGAATTCTTTTCTAGAGAAATGTATCACAGGAATTAAATTTTCATATAGTCAATATTTGTGCATACTTGGATGTTGATGATAAACATGAACTTATAAATAATATAAGATAATAAAGTTGGGATAACTGCTCTTTTAGACTGTATTTCACCAGTTTTAGGTGTAAAGAGTGTTTTTAGGTGTTTGGAGTAGATGCACTATATGAAAGCTCAATAATCACATTGGTTTTGGTTAATGAATGTATCTTGAGTTGTAACAGATTTATTTTTATTTCTGATTTATTTCTAATTTTTGCATAAAATGGGTAGAGATGCCAGTTTTTCGTTGTCAGATTGGATGCTGCTATCTGTGGAATGCAAAGGCTGTAGTTGCAGAGGACACTCTTTCTCACTGGAGCCTAACAAAGATGGCTGGTCTAGAATGCTTGGATGCATTTCTGCATGTCAAACTCCTTTGGAGCTAATTCAGATTATTGCTGCACTGTATMATTTTAGGAGATTTTTATAACTTTGTGTTTAAACTGTAACTATTACCTGCTATATATAAGAACTTAGTGTTCTTAAACAGGTGAGTTTGTGTTGTCCCTTCCAGGCAGAATTCAATTTAGTGGTGACTGAATGGCTACTGCAGTTCTTGTRTAGGCTTGGCAGTTTTTTCCTGTTTCCGTATGAACCAGGGGTGAATACTGTGGGAGCTTGTACAAATGGTGAGAGATTAACTGTCTCTTTTGATTGGAAAGAAGGTTTAAACCATTGTCATCAACACTACTCTCCTCACTTTTTGCTGCATGTATGTTTTTGTCATGRGTCTGTTTTCATGTTTGCTCTTTTGGCAGGGCTTTTCATTGACSAGAGAATAATGTAGTTAGCTGGCTGTTTTCAGTGATCTTGCATGATGATACAATCTTCCATTTAGCTTAAGACTTAATGCAGGCTACTGATCTGATAATGGAAATTGATCATTATAAATCAGAAGCAATCAAAATATAGCAAAAAAAGCTGTCACAARTGTAACTACTATGCAGTATCGTAGTATAGAGGAGTCTCTCTTCTGAGCAGTTCAGGAATTGCTTTTTAATCATAGTTAATTGAGATACCAAAAAACATGGGTCTAACCATGGGTCACTAACCCATAGCAGTGCTGGGATGTGTGGTGAGTGGCTGGAGAGTGATGTGGGCAGGCTTACTGAATGCTACTTGGCAACTTAGAAATAAAGATTTTGTGTCCTCTGGATTCTAGAATTACTTAGATTAGAAGCTTTGACAAACTGATGATAAAGTCTGTATGCTTGTTCTGTTGATTACTAGGAAAGTTTTAGGGAAAGACTGTGGTCTCAGTCAACCAATCTTCTTAATGGACTTTGCCTGCTGAAATACTGTAAATGGGATTTTTTGAAGACTTCTAAAGCCTGTCCTTATCATTGCTTTTCTGCTAAYTTTACAGAGTCAAATGGCTTCCAAAAGTTCAAAGGGAGTTTGCCACCAAATTTGATGTTAATGCTCAAATACATTGACTTGTCATTAATCTTCTGCAAGTACAAATGCTTAAATTGCTTCCTTTTTATTTTCCATATATTTATGTGTATAMATTTGGGTTTTTTGCAGGATTTACTTGGAGTAAAAGATCACTGACTTTCTACAATGGAAAAATCATGGATGCTTTGGACCTTTGTTAAGAGATGGCTACTAGCTTTGGCTTCCTGGTCTTGGAGTCTCTGCCGTATTTGTCTTTTGCCCTTGATAGTGACTTTTCACTTGTACGGAGGCATTATACTACTTATATTAATATTTGTATCAATAGCGGGTATATTATATAAATTCCAGGATGTTCTGCTTTACTTTCCTGAGCAGCCCTCTTCATCACGCCTTTATGTTCCTATGCCTACTGGTATACCACATGAAAACATCTTCATCAAAACCAAAGATGGAGTTCTTCTCAATCTTATTCTGCTGAGATACACAGGGGACAATGCAGCGTATTCTCCAACCATCATTTACTTTCACGGGAATGCAGGCAACATTGGCCACAGGTTGCCAAATGCTTTATTAATGCTGGTAAACCTGAAAGTAAACTTAATTCTGGTCGATTATAGAGGGTATGGAAAAAGCGAAGGAGAAGCAAGCGAAGAAGGCTTGTACTTAGATTCTGAGGCCGTGTTAGACTATGTGATGACTCGGTCTGATCTCGATAAAACAAAAATTTTTCTTTTTGGCCGTTCCTTGGGGGGAGCAGTAGCTATTCACTTAGCTTCTGAAAATTCCCATAGGATTTCTGCCATYGTGGTGGAGAACACCTTTCTTAGCATCCCGTACATGGCCAGCACTTTGTTCTCTTTCTTTCCGATGAGATATCTTCCGTTATGGTGCTACAAAAATAAATTTCTATCCTACAGAAAAATCTCTCAGTGCAGAATGCCTTCTCTCTTCATCTCTGGGTTGTCTGACCAGTTAATTCCACCAGTTATGATGAAACAACTTTATGAATTATCCCCAGCTCGGACTAAGAGATTGGCGATATTTCCTGATGGAACTCATAATGACACTTGGCAGTGCCAGGGTTATTTCACTGCACTTGAACAGTTCATCAAAGAAGTAATAAAGAGTCACTCCCCTGAAGAAATGGCGAAAACATCATCTAACGTAACAATAATATAATTGATGTTCTTTGGGATGGGGCAAGTACCTGCACTGTACCTTGATTTGTGATGAGTGATAAAAGAATGTCCATTTTTAAGTGTATTGTCATGTCTGTACTTGCCTAAAGAGTGAAATTAAACTTGGAAAAGTCTGATATTTTATTAAGATGTTCCAGATAACTTTTACATTTGCAGCATTGTAAATGAACCATWTTTTTGTCTTTCTCATACTTTTTTGGTATCTCTGTCCATATAATCCATTTGTTTGATATGTACAACAGATGCTATTAAAGGAACTTGCTACAAAAGTARTACAGAATGTATTTAGAGCAATGGGAGGCTCTTCAGTATTCACTGCTGTACGTGTGAGCTTTTTGGACAGCCATGGTTAGCACAATGATTTGTTGCTTCTCTTAGAGTTTATTTAAAGTGTGCCATGCATGAGATTAGTGTTTTATTTCTTAAAATTTTATATTATGCAAAGTGGGAAGTCTTTAATGTGCTAAATAATACAAAACATAAATGGTAGCGTATACTTGCAGGTATACTATCCTGGGTTATTACTGGTTTTTATGGTTATGCAAACTTACGTATGTCAAACTGCAGCTGAAGATGAAAAGATACTGTCCTTGTTTTTACTTACAATTTGTATTATAATAGTACACAGACGGTGGTATGTGCCTAACATCGTGATTTCAGGATTTTACCCAGGCAATTTGTCCATAGTAAATAGAAGTAACTTTCAGAAAGAGAGCAGYGCAATCTAAGCTCCTTTCTGCCTCAAGCTCTCCTTGCTAATGTACAGGCAAACTATTTGTTAGTGTTAATCTGCTTGAGCATTTGAGGTGGTATTTCTCAAGGCAAAATGAATGGTCATACAAGGTAAAAGTAGGGTTTTTGTGTTCAGGCTTTTAGGCTGGTGTAGTTAAATGTTTGTGCCCTTTATTTATACCTCCAAAAAAACAAACTCAAATAGTTACCAGTGATCACATTATTCAAGATTAATGTATACAGTTGTTATACCATAAGGATAATACAAATGASCAGATATGACCACCTAGAACTATCGTTGAAACTAGGAGGGCTCTGCAGATTCTGACGGACTGGAGCAATGAACCAAGGCCAGCTGCACAACATTCAGCAAGGCCAAGGGCTGGATTCTTCACTTGGGTCACAACAAATKAATGCAGCACCAAAGGTTAGGAGAAGAGTGGCTTGAGAGCTGCTCAGCAGAAGAGAGCCTTGAAGGTGCTGGTCGGCAGCCAGCTGGATATAAACCCACAGTGGTGAAGCAGGCCAGTGGCATCTTGGCCCCTGTATTGAACATGGTATGGCCAGGAGTAGTAGGGAAGTGATTTTCTTTCTGTACTGGGCACTGGTGAGGCCACACCTCAAATCCTGCATTCAGTTCTGGGCCYCTCACTACAAGAAAGGCATTGAGGTGCTGRAGCATGTTCTGCATGGAGCAGAGAAGGGCAGCAGAGCTGGTGAAGGGTCTGGAGCACAAGCCCTGTGAGGAGTCGCTGAGGGAGCTGGAGTAGTTTAGTCTGAAGAAGAGGTTTGTTTAGGGGAGACCTTATCATTCCCCACAGCCACCTGAAAGGAGTCTGTAGCCAGGTGAGGGCTGGCCTTTTCTGCTGTCTTTCTAGTGCAAGGATGAGAGGAAATGGCCTTACATTAAGGAAGGTTGAAATGAGGTATTATAAAAAAAGCATTCACTGAAAGAGGGGTTAAGCATTGGACTAACTTGCCCATGGAGGTGGTGGTGTCCCCATCTCTRGAATCATTCAAGAGCCATCTGGATGTGGCACTTGAGGATATGGTTTAGGGGTGATTATGGTGGTGTTAGGTTGATGATTGTACTAGATCATTGTACTTGACCTTTAAGATCTCTTCCAACTTTGATGACTCTGTGATCAAAGACATATGTTGTTAGCTGAGTCCCTATTGGAGTGTGAGAGCTGTTTCARTATCTTCTGCAGGTTTAATTTCTTATTGCTGCAGCTGAGTTTGCCTCTTCAAAATATTTTTTTATGGAAAGAACAAATTGGAAAATCATCCACACAATCTGTACAATTGCCCTTTGGATTCAAATTTTTAAATAAATTTTCTGCCATGTTGTCCTGATTCAGAAAAGCATTTCAGCACACACTTAAAATCTGTTTCCTAAGGGGCAGTCATTTTTTAAGCTTGTGCTTAAATTCTCTGGTTGAATAAAACTGCTTACCTGGACTGGTGCCTTAATGGTTACGCCTCCTAATGGAATTATATTTATTTTGTACACATGGGTAGTAGTTGTCAGCAATTTGTAAATAGAATGATACATCTTTTCATAAATGTGATTTTTAATTTTTTTTTTTGAAGACATATGCATACAAAAAGTTGCTGCTTTCTCCAGTAAGTATCTTTTGTGATATTGGTATTAAGGTTTTCTTGGAGTTGATTGAGAAAATCTTTGTGGTTCTGTAGACCTTAAATCAGAGAGCATAGTTTTTAATCTGAATGAAACCAAAACTATTTTTTCAGCCTTACAGTGGTGGTATTTTTTTTTTTTCTTTTGGGGAAGGGGGCACATGGGCAAGGTATATTGGAGAAGTTTGGCTGGGGCCTGGGAGACGAGGCAGTGTTTGTGTAGCAGAAAGGACTTGACAGACATAGCATTGCCTTTCCCTGATGTATTTTGCAGTGAGATGTGAGCTGCTTGCATAGATTGTTTCATCTACTTCACATTGCTTCAGAATAGAGGTGGAGGGAGAAAAGGAAGAGTAGCAGTCAAATACTGCTTTTCTAAAAATCAGTTGAAAAAGCCAAAAGAATAGATTGTTGAAGATGGAATTGAGAGAAAGTAATTGTTTCAGAAGTTGTCATATCTTTCCATTAAATACCATTGGAGGTTTTCACAAAACRTCAATTTCTAATGTAACATGGTATTTAATCCCTGTTCCCACTGATCAAGACAAAACCCTCAATTCAAAATACCCCTAGTAGTATGTGGTACTAGTATACAAACTAATTATTCCTATTTGAGCACAGTTACTAAGACAAAGTCCAATGTGTGGTGTAAGATTATGRCAATCTGAAACTCTTCAAAGTGGGCTGTATCTAAACGCTACTTTTTATTATCAAGCCATGTATTTTCACTATATTGTCTGCAGAACATAAGTATGAAACTTTGATTTTTGCATGTATTGGGTATGAGTTGACACAATTGTCATATATATATCCTTTACACTTAGTATGGTTTCTTCCACCTTCCATATAGTAGGTTGGCCACAAACTTGTGAATGAATGTTACTATGCTATTTTTCATTGCATTGGTTATGAAATCCACTGAAAGAAAATGGGAAGGAAGTGATGTTTTTATGCAAATATTCCACTGCTCTGCCTACATTCCTTTAAGGGAGAGAGGAAGGAGGGGGAGGAAACTTGTTCTGACAAGTCAAGACTTGTTTTTATTTTATGGACTGTGTGATAGAAATCACACTTATCTGCTGCTAAAAACTGAACTGCAAGCAACATAGTAATAATAACTTTAAATTGCCAAAAGGTATGTCATGATACTGTTTTATTTAATACCATTACATGTTTTCCCATAACAGTATCCATTTGTGTATAGATGTTTCCCAAATATTGATCCTGTACATATAAATTTCTAGTTTTGGAAGAGGCTGAGTTCTTTTCACAGGTTTGTAAGAAAGCATCRTAGTTTATATTTGCTCATTAAAGAAATTTTCTGTTTTGCAAGAGGAAATTTAATTTAAAAAAAAAAAAGTAAAAACAAAATTGGAGGGGGGCAGGAGTTGAACAGCTGTAGCAGTAGAGTTCCTTGTAAGGAAGCATAAGATGTTGTGTATGCACACATGTGTGTGGTTTTAATTAGTGGAAATACTTGAGGCTTCCTACCAACCCAAGTTTACATTCCCAGGATTTGTTTCTGAACTGTGAAATGCAGAGAGATAAGCTGTGCTTTCTTCTGGAGAAATATTAACTGGTTTAGCTGCCCTCATGTCCATTTCTCAGGTAAAATTAGAAATAGAGCACAAATGCATTTGGTAGGCTACRGACAATCTCTCAGTTGAAGGGCAGAAGGATTAACTATTTATACAAAATATGCATATCAGCATCTCTAAGCTAATAATTTGGGTTCCATTGGATGTTCGCAGTGAAGAAGGCAAGGCTGAATTGAGAGTCCWAGCTATGGTCTCTTCTGTTAGCAAAAAGATACAGACGTACCTCCATTTGTATTTCATAATTCAATTCTTGAAAATACATTTTTATTTTTGGTAATGACAGGTAATTTTGCTAGGGGCACTTCTGCCAAATATAAAATCAGTGCCTCTTGCATGTAGCGGGATCAGCCATGTATCCCGTTAGGTATAATTTGCAATGCCATCCTGCTTGTATAATTTAGAGTAGAACCCCGCAGATGTGTAAATAGAGATAGCATATTGGAGTTCTAAATGACACATGTGCTTTGAATTCAGAAACAGTCACTGATTATGAGATGCAGGCTTTTTATTTGATTTTTCTTTAATATATAGTTATGGCAAAATTGTCTTATAAAGTATTCCTAAGTTTTGTAGACAAAGCTTAAATGTTATTGTATATGTGCTAATTGTGGCAAAGTTTTACATTCTCATTCTAGTTGGTTTTTACAATAAAGTTAATTTTACAAAAAACACTTTTCTATTTTTATGTACTGACATATGCAATAAATTGATACATTAAAAGTGCTGTTAATGTCTTGTTCTAGTTTGTGGTCTGTCTTCAGTTTGTGTGAAGGGGTAGTTTTGTCTGCATGGTAACAGATAAACCCCAAGGCATCATTTTCAGTCACTTACTAAAACCAGAGCACATGGACTAGACATCTGCATTGTTGGATGTGGCCTTTGTGGAAAGGTATTACAGCAGGAGAAAAAGTATATTACAAGTATGTTTCTAAGCTTTGTGATGTATCCTCACTTTTAGGAAGTGTTAGTAAGTAAAACTGCTATGTGGTAGCTCTCCATCACTTTTTAACACATTTTGCATTTCAAAATTTMTCTGTTGTCTAGGGGTATGAGAAATGGTCTAAATATTATGTCCATTAGGAAGTATTTTGAAGTGTTTCTGGCTAGCTTTACCACCTATGCCAGCAATATTTTAAATGTCARTTTTAAATTCTGTATTGCCACTCAGATATATAGTTAATTCATGTAGCTGCAGTGGGATACTCAGTCTGAAGCAATTTCTACTCAGAGAAATGCACTACTAAGATTATATCACCCTGCTCCCATTCGGCATAGTTAATGTAAAATACCCAGAAAATAAGGGCTTACTGCTGTCTTTTCTAAAGCTGCAAAATGTGTGTCCTCTCCTGAATTACTGCAAGGCTTATAGTTAATTTTTAAMCCAATACCTAGGAAACGGGGCTGTGGGTGTGGGGTGTAGGTGTGGTACATTTAGACACTGTTCAAGATACCTATTAATTTGAAATTAAAAAAAGAAAAACAGATATTGCTAATATTTGTAAAGAAAGAAATGAAAGTACAGAAACAGCTCCAGATTTGGGTATTTCATGTGAATACTGCCCTGAATGAGATGCAGGTTGCTGTCTTGTGAACTATGTCACTAAAACTTATCTGCACTGTGCTGTTCTGGAGAACACWAGTCTTGCCTCTGCTTTTTTTCACTTGAAAATTTATAAGCAGCTGGGCTACAAAGTGCAACATAAACTGTTTCCTGGAATGTCTCATGATGTTCTATTTATTTGCTTAGTAGATAGGTATAGGCTTTCCTATCAGGCAAAACACCATATTTGAATTTTTCTCAGGATTTGCAAGTACTGATTAAATCCTAGAAAACATTGATGAGGGCATCTGAACATCTGAACTATTATTGGAGCAGCCCTGCCAAGAGGGACTTGGGGGTGCTGGTGAAGGGGAAGCTGAACATCATCCAGCAAGGTGTGCTCGCTGCCCAGAAACCAAACATGTCCTGGGCTGCATCAAAAGCAGAGTGGACTGCAGGGCAAGGAAGGGGATTCTGCCCCTCTGCTTCGTTCTCTTGAAACCCCACCTGAAGTGCTGTGCCCAGCTCTTGATTCCTTAGCCCAGGAAGGACATTGGGTTGTTGGAAAGAGTCCAGAGGAGGGACACCAAGTTGATTGGAGRGATGGAGGGAGGGATGGATTCTCTTCTGTGAAAAAGCGAAGGGACTTGAGCTTGTCCAGCCTGGAAAAGAAAAGGCTTTGGGGTGACCTAATTGCAGCTTTCCAGTACCTGAAGGGAAGCTACAAGATAGATAGTGCGACTTTTTACAAGGTCATATAGTGACAGTGATGCCTAGAGATTTCTGCTTTTATGTATTTTTCATGTATTCGTAGCTCTGTAGAATAGTGTTACATAATTATGTAGYTCCTAGTATTCTTCCTACCCTCTTATGTTTTTGAACAATAAGCTAACCTTATGACACATTCCTGAAATAACGTTTAGTCTTATTTTCAAGAAGAAGACACAACAATAAAATGGGACAAACAAGCCCTGGACAAACTCCAGTGGGGCAGCACCTGGGGAAAAATTGCCTAACCAACTGCTCTTCTAACTGGACAATGTTTATTAAATATGCTAATTTATTGAACCTATAAAATTGTAGAAATCCAGTTCCAAGTTTGGCTATGACCACCRGGACACCTATGGACAAGCTTCCAAATAAAGGTCTGCTTTTTATTTTACTATTTTAACACTACTGCAGGATTTTTTTCTCTTTTGATATTGGGCAACAACAGGACAAGRGGGAATGGCTTAAAATTGAAAGAGAGTAGGTTTGGGTTAGATATTCAGAGGGAGTCCTTTGCTGTGAAGGTGRTGAGGCACTGGGACAGGTTGCCCAAAAAAGGTGTGGCTCACTGGATGGCCGGAACACATCCCTGGAAGTATTCAAGGCCAAGCTGGATGAAGCTCTCAAAAACTTGATCTAGTGAAGATTTCCCTGCCRCACAGTGGGCATGTCAGAACAAGATGATCTCTAAAGTCTTTTCCAACGCAGGTCATTCTATGGCTCTATGGAATGAAACCTAGACCAAAGTCTCTTAAAAAGATCAASTATAGATAGATAAGGGTTTGAGAAAATACTGAACCACTGGCTTAGAAAAAATTATTTGCTCTAAAGATATTGAACATGCCTAAGCTTTAAATTTCTTGTTGGACACKGTTCAGGGTCTTCATTTTAGACGCTGTACCGAGTTCTGTCTCTGTAAGTAGATAAGGAAGATACACTGATTATTTTCTGGATTTGTTTTGAAAACATTTATGTGATTAATTTGTTATGCTTCAGCTTGGATGGGGGCAGAATAACTCTTGTATATCTTGGAAAAACAGCAATTTTCCTTTCCCTGAAAGGCAATGCAGCTTAAGAGCGCACTTGCTTTTACTGTGCTACAGAACATGGTTTCACTCCTATTCAGAGATACATATTTAATAATCTGGAGGAAAGAGCTGAATAATGCAAAGCTGCAAGGTGGCTGACAGAAATATAGTATGTTCACATACCA